TCTAAATTATGAAAATTTTATTTCATTGTTTACATTTGTCTAATTATCAATAGCAAATGTCAAACTGACATGACTTGACAAACCCTGGTTCCTTGATGTTGGCAGCGACTTATGGTCTCTTTACCACATTAGGGTTTTTATCCAAAAATATTTACCCCTAAGTTTAATGGCATGAAAATATATAGCCTAAAGCGTGACGTAAGTGTAGGGATTTTTATTAAAAAATGAATTATTCAAAAATATGATGTAATTGCTGACATCTTAGGCAACAAAGAAGTGTGTGTTTACGCTTTATTATAATAGTATACAGATATAGATATAATTTTTATTACACAAATGGATCTGACTGCAAATGACAACTTATGCTTTAAAAGTTAAATGAGTTGTTGACGTTAATGAGATTTATTTCATATCTAATCTCTATTATAAGCTCCAATTCAGAGACCACTAAATAGGCACAAAATGTCGTTTCTTAAAACCTATCCTTTAATAGAGGTCAATGGAAAAGCAAAGTTAATATCTAATATTTCGCGAACAAAAAGACAATAACACAATTGAGTTAGATGTAAGAGGGTGCGCATACATGAAACTAAACTATCGCACAAGTGTTTAGTCTCGCATTGATTCTTAAAAGCTTATATGAGGTATATTACTCGTTTTTTATTTGTGCTACAGTGGAATTGGCTGCGAAATAATCGACATCGCATAACAATTGTGCGATAGTTTAGTCAAAGGTGTACGCCCCTGAAAGTGCCATACGAGCTAGACTAATGCGTTACAATTAAATTACAATCGAAGGCACTTGCGTATTGAGCTATCCTTTCCGTTCTCCGTCAAAGGATAAGCGATTGCCAACTAAGGTCGATCGTGGTCGCCGGCGACCGGTTCACCTTCCTCATCAAGGCCAGGCTCGGCTGCATTGTTTGCTTACGGTCAGGGCTGAGTGTTGCCAACCAAAGTGGAGCAACTTGCTGACAATTTCGCCCCGCTGATAAATAGGTATTTTCGGGAATTCATACTTATTTACATTTAGGTCTATAGCATCGTGATTTATTTAGTTAGATATTTATATCCCGAGTATTGTATGTTAATTTTTTTAACTTTTCAACAAAATTTTGGAAGAGGAAAGCATATGTCAACTATGGTATAGTTGACATATGCTTTCCTTCTTCTTCACTACACGCATACGCTGCAATTCCTCGAGTAAAAAACCGGTGATTACTTATTCGTGTAAACTGTCATACGAGGATATTATTAATAGTTAATTATTGATCACTTAGTTTTCCTGCTGTTAATACTGACCCCACATCAAGTTAATTGTAAATTGAGGGATTTATGTTTATAAAACAACACATAAAGATAAATAAAACTAATCATAACTCATATAAAACAAACTTAATCTACGATATGTTACCTTTAAAAAGACTTTAGAACCGTTGACAGTGCTGTCTTTTACATAAATGGTACTAAATGGTGGGTTTCACCAGTACCGGCGTTAGAAGAGAGCGAGGTGGGGCTACCTCTCAGGGTTTCTGTCATAAAAGGCTGCCACTTACACCTAAAAGGTTATCAAGGGTGCCATTTTTCACCTGGATTCGCAGTTAGATGACGCTTTAGAAACCTCATCCAGAACGCTGGTAACACCAGAACCGACTGTGGTTTCCACATTATACTTAAATTTCCTCACTCGCATTAACTTCGAAAATTAACCACATTATATTTTATCGCATGCGTGACGGCATTAAATCAATATTTCGTCATTCGATATTGGATTCAATCAAGGGCGACAAAGGATAACCTACATAATTAGCGTGTACCGGTTATGATACGATTGGTTGCTATATATGGTCATTTGAGCGGATGTTGAGCGGTGTGGCAGACCGCAGATCTCTGACAATTCTGTGGGGATGACAAGTTTGAATCTCTGAATCACAAATTTCAATATCCTTGTACAGTCAGCTTCATAAATACACTAACAAAACTTGCACAGGTTTTAATTATACGTATGTAATTCATTAGCACATATTCAAAGTCAGAAGCATATGGACGAATAAATATTTAAAACCGAAGGCATATACTAATTTCTGTAGCTTTGTAATTATAACATATTTAAATAGCTAACTGTACACCTTTACAATTGCATCCTTCCTTTAATATTTCGTAGCAAATGTAGACGAATCGGACTATACACATTGACATCGTTACCTTTATTATTTCATATAGAGAAGAACCTCGATAAGTTAAAGTCCAAGGGAAACACAAAATCTTTTAAGTTATAGAGGTTTCAAGTTATCAAGGGTCTTTGTTGTAGAAGTTTTGGGCCCTGATGTTTCTACTGTACTGTGTTTCTTTTACATATAAAAATAAAAAGTATTAAGATTAAATGAGGATACCTACAAAGGTAGACAAAGATAGCATGGATACATTCTGTCAAACATACTCAAAGGAGTGAATTCAGATATGACTGATAGGGATGTGCCGACCCTCCATAGGAATAAGTGCAGGTCGACGATGTCGGTCCATACATAAAAGTTCAAGCTTACATTAAAATGAACAGATTTAAGGTGTCAGTTAGGTTAGCAACTGAGCGTACTCCACGAGATTACCCAGTCGCGTGTAATCGGGTTAAGCGTTGTGCAACGTGCAGCGGTGCCGGATTTCACGTGGGCGCTTCGACAATTACATACTAAATGGAAAATATCCATCGTCATAACTATAACGTGCGAGTTAAAGTACAAATTAAACGAGCAATTGTAAGTTAATTTACAGAGATTTAAAATAGGGCAAGAGATAAATGACAATGTGCTTTGGCTACAAACTAGAATTTACGATATGAAATGACAACAAAAAAATGACAATTACTGACGCGATACATCGAAATTACCGTTAAGATAGTATAAAATACAATATTAATGACAACAATTACGATAACCAAGAATGACTAATACACAAGGAGTGAATAAAAGATTGCACCATACAAATTAAATTTAGTTCGAAATCTTTAAAAGTAAATCTAGGATCCATACAACATGTGACAAGTCATCTAAAAGTCCTGCATAGTAAAACACAAGAGAATATAGGATAAGTAAGATTACTAATATTATAAATGCAATAGTTTAGATGGATGGATAGATAGATGGATGTTTGTTAGAGTTTGTAATCTAAACGGCTGAATGGATTTCGATGAAATTTGGTATAGATGTAGAGGATAGTCTGGAAGAACACATAGGCTACTCACTTTTTTTTTCAATTCCACGCGGACGGAGGCGCGGGCGAAAGCTAGTAAGTGCCATAAAAAGATATTCCTAACAATCTGATGCAATCGACATTTAACACTGCATAGATACGTGAATCAAATCCAACTGCTGTAAATAATACTATAGCATTTAACTCAATCTATTCGTTTTGCGAAATCAAAATCAATATTTTAGACGTTTTTAATGTTCTCTAATTGCGAACACATTCGTTACGTTTATATTTGGTAAAGGAAGTCTTACTTTGAATGTTAAAAAATTAGTTATAATGAGAATTTACAATGCTATACGGTGTGGTAACAAATTTTATCTAACAAAACCCACCAACGCATTATAAAACTGCAAAAAAAAACCTTCATATAAATTACAGTAGTTTATTGTACATGTTTTGTGTATGTAATTTATCTATATCGATTAATGTAACATAAGAGTAAATATATGAGTCCCAGCATCTAGTAACCACTTATATTACCCGCTCCCTTTAAAGCAGTGTCGCGACGCTTGTGAGGTAATTTAAAATTTAAATTTAGGATACCTAAATTATCTCCACGTCAGCTTTCCTCGCGCTGTTCGTTTCATCAGATAGGCTACTTTAATTTCCATGTAAAACATCAACTTCAGTTAAGTTTTACATTTATAAGTGACTAAGTATGGCCCTTTATAATCGATTCATGTTTGCTGAGATCTTTTTGCCTATGAAGGGTCGGCACAATATATACGAACAGATACATGTAAATGCATTTGTTCTTATCAACGTTTTTTTAACGCGCGTTATAAAATCGCTTGGGAACTAAAACATTGAAATGATTATGGCTTTAGAAATAAAATATACCAGCAAACCTCATACTATTTTCATTTCAGTTATGAACTAAAGTATTCGATGTTCAGAAACGTCGAATAACTTCACAAAAGTGAAGGTGACCTTTCTATCGCTGGAAAATCTAAACATAGGTAATTTAACCTCTATTTGACTACGGTACCAGTTGGAACCACCCTGTCCCTGACTGCTTTGCTTTCTGACTTTTAAATCTGACCTGGTTCTTGACATTATGATTCGTTTTTAATTTCAGGTAATATCTGACTATTACATTGACCTTTTGAAAGTGACATTTTTAACCTAAACGGGCTATTTATACATGGTCCTACGTGTCTGTACATTATATTTTAGGTAAATCGTCCATAACAACCAGCATACAATCTATAGTTTTAAAAATTAGACACAGATCACGCAATCGATAGATAAAATAATACTCGTGAATTCAAATATCACGACTTAAATAGTCATCTTGAACGAATCTCGACTTTAACAAAGACTAACTATACCAATAATTTAAAGAGAAAAGATATATGTTATTGTTTTTTGTATGTATTGAGTAACATAGGCTATTATTTTTTTAATTTCACGCGGACAAAGTCGCGTGCAACCGCTAGTATAATACAATCATTGGAGCAGCATATTATCAAATGTAGATTTACATAGTACATACTGCAGTCTCTATTTTATCAATACGAATAAAAGGGACGACTATATCATTCACTTTGAAACAGACGACAGTTACTTAGGGGCATTCAAAACGAACGTACGCATATCCCTTAAGGGATTGTAACGCATCTGCGGTTCCTCTAGTTTTGCGTATGTCTATGGGCGTAACAATAATGCGGTCCACTATGCGTTTGCCCTTCTAATGGTAGCTTAGATGTCTACTTTGCACGTCATAGCCATTATAAGTTTGTAAAGGTACTCACCCTGTCGTGAAATTTGCTCTTATCGTAGGACCTCTCGGAGCATAGGTTGTATATCTTGTAGTGACCCTTGTGCATCTGCTCCAGAAAGCGATAAACCTCGTCGATGTGATTCCTGTACACGCCTTCCAGCTTCTCCGCCGGGAAGCCCATCGCTATCAGCCGGTCTGTTATATCTGTGACGATATGCTAAGGAAATACTCTCGACATAATTTACGGATACAAAAGAAATAAATATTATTGTCTTAACTCTTAATTTACTGTTGTCGCCTCAATGCATCACTGTTCAAGATTAGAGCGTTAAACTTAAGCTAAGAACTTTTATCACGTCACCTCATCTTAAAGCAGGACTTTCGTCAAAACTACTAATATATGTTACCTAGTTGTGCCCGTGCGACTTCATCCGCATAAAATTGTGAAAATTTTATTTTATTATTTACATCAGTCAAATTATCAATTACAAATGACATGATGACAACCATGCTTCCTTGATGTTGGCAGCAACTTATGGTCTCTTTCCCACATTAGGGTTTTTATCCACAATATTTATCCTCTAATTTTAATGGCGTAAAAATATATAGCCTAAAGCGTGACGTAAGTGTAGGGCTTTTTATTAAAAAAAGGATTATTTAAAAACATGCTGTATTTAATTGTCATAGAATAGAATATTTAAATGTCATGGCATAGAAAATACAGCTTTGAAAAAATTATTCCGACACAGTAATAACTAAAAGAACATTCATTTACAAAAGTCAGTTATTGTACTCGTAGTTTTAGTGCGACTTTACTTTACTTAAGAGATAGCTGTGGTAAGGCTAACTCTATAAAGGTTAAATAAGTAATTTAGGGTAAAAGCTCTCGATCAACTTTGGCTCCGCTCGTAAAACAACCTGCCCAAAATGGCCACAACAAAGCTTTAAGTTACTTTCTTCTGATAAGTTTTTATTACGTCTATTCTAAAAACACTAAACCGTACATTGAATTTGTAGCAATAACAAAATACCTATAGATGGTCGATAGTTGGTACGCGATAGTTTACTGTCTATTCACCCTACTTTTGAATAATAAAAAAAACTAATGGTAGAATTTAGTCCCTATATCTATAAAGTTTACAATACATTTGGCATTTGGCATAATTCCCATCGTAGCAAATGCTTCATTATCCTTTACGTTAACAAGATCGAAGTTATCTGTGGGCTGGCAACATGTGACGTCACCACGCAGACGCCATGCACCGCGCGACCTTGGCCGGTCATTGTCAAATGCGCTGCAGTTCTGCTTACGCATCCAGTTTTAAGATGTTACTAACGCTTAATTTTTGGGTTAAAATATTCACAATTTACTTATAATTTTATTAGTTTATTTTATGTCAATTGTTAAATCAAATAAATCTGATGCTTTATTCATTTCAAAGTATTCAAATGTTGACTTTTTAAAGTCTATTTCCTATACATTTCAAAGATCCTAAAAAACAACAGCAATTTATATTAATATTATAAAAATGAAAGATTTGTTCTTTTGTATGTATTGAAATAACTAATAACGAAAAATACTATGGGGATATTCAAAATTTTTATTATTTTACAATTTCACACGGCCGAAGTCACGAGCAACAACTAATAACGTATATTTTTATGCAATAAACTAAACAAGAACCAAAGCGTTGCATTTATTTAGGATACATTTCAAACTAATAAAGAATTTAAAATTAATAAATGTCGAAAGATAAAACTTTTGAAGATCGTATCTAACGTGAAATTATAAATAAGTAATAAATATACGTCGGGGGGCGATAAAAGGAAACCGGACAAGTGCGATACAAGCCACGCTTTATGGCGTCGCTTGATCACAATTTGCGGTTTAAGAAATACATAACTCACTACAAACTGTAGAAAGTTAACCGTAGTATTAGACTAGCTTAATTATAGTTGTATCATTAATACAAATGATATTACGATTAAACAAAAAAGATAAAAAAAAAACATATAAGCGCATTGAGTACCTTCTTATTTTGGGAAGGCGATCAAAAACTGGAATACATGAGCAAGATGCCATCACAATTATAGACCTCAGATCTATAGAAAATTCTATAAAAGTTACTATCAAAGCTTTAGTCAACGCAATTTCCAAATATTTTTTTAAACTAATTTTACATGCATATCTGCTATATCTGCTAACTTTCGCCCGTGACACCGTCCACGTAAAATAAAAAAAAAGCAAAAGTAAGTAGCCTATGTGTTCTACTAGACTATCCTCTACGTCTATACCAAATTTCATCGAGATCTGTCCAGCCGTTTAGGCTACAAACTCTTACAAACATCCATAATTTTGCATTTATATTAGTAAGAAGCAAGATATCTACGCAATCTCAATATTAATAATATGGGCATAATAAATAAAACTAAAAGTGGATATTAAAATTGCTAATGATTAATACATCGGAGATATAAAAGTAATTAAAACTGTATCCGGCGCCTTGACTATACAAGTGGGGGCCCGGGGGAGTGGTCCCCTCTTCTCCCTGATAATTAATGTCAGTTAGTAACTAAGGTTGACAGTTACCTTGATTTTATATGCATTTAACGTTCAACTTTTTTTTAAATGCAAATATAATTTCAACCCATTAGGGTAATGTGGTCGTGAGAATTTATTCACACCAATTTAACACAGGTTGATGAAACTTTACATAAAATTCATTTAAAAATAAATTACTAAAATAACGACTAAACTTAAGGGGTTAGGTATGATTACAAATCTCTAATTTGCAAAATTAAAAGCTTTTCGTGTACTTTCATATCACATACTAATATTATAAAGAGGAGAGTTTTGCATTTTTGTATGTATTGAAGTAACTCAAAAACTACTAGGACGATTTTAAAAATTCTTTCATCACTAAAAAGCTACGTTTTCAGTTAATAACATAGGCAATATTTTGTATTATTTTTTGATTTCACTAATTCAATTTAACAGCTCGTGTCTTAATTATAAATACTATTCTAGATAACATTTCTGGTTCTGCTCACTCCCTATCACCAGTAACTGCCACACTCTGACTCTAACAGCTGCTAGAAGAGTCTCTTATAGATTTAATATTACAATACTGACTTCTAAAATATCTCAGGGAGCCGTAGTAAACGTCTACAAAACATCTTGCAAACATTTCATACGTACAAATATAAAGCAAACATACGAGTATTGAGGGTGAGACGGCCTGGCTGGGCTATGAATAAATCACACCAGCTTATCTTGTGATAAGACTGGACATTAAACGTGCAGCCTTGGACACCTCTTGATATTACCGTTTATGACGTACTAACGATCCTGAATACTAATCTAAACTATTAATCCATTAAATAACTATATTAATAATTAACTATTAATAATACTAATATTATTAATGCGAAAGTTTAGATGGATGGATGTTTGTTAGAGTACGTAGCCTAAATAGCTGAACGGATTTTGATGAAATTTGGCATGTATATGTACATAGGCTACTCACTTTTGTTTTTTTAATTCCTCGCGGACAAAAGCTACTAGTTAATTAAAACTGATTATGTCTTTATAAATTTTCCTCTATTGGAACAATATCTGATTTAAGATCGCGATTTGCTAAGTAACGAGTTAGAGATATCTATTAAGTAATGCAATTGTAACCGATCTAACTTGGCCAGCCGTCATTGCTTACGTGACGTCATAACCTCAAGGTTAAACCGCTGTCAACATCGGCCGTGCGTGTCGCCCCGACTGTACTCTGGTAATTGATTAACTCTTAAACTTTCAGCAATGATTTAAATAGATTAATAATAGCTTATTAAAAAATACTAACTGTTGCTCGCGACTTCCCCCGTGAATATAAAAATGATAAAAACATAGCCTATGTTACTCACAGATAAATTACCTTTTAATGGTAAAAGAATTATTGAAATCAGTACAGTAGTTTTTGAGTCATTTGAATACATACAAAAATACAAATCTTTCCTCTTTATAATATTAGTATAGATAAAACTTAAAAGTTCCACAGCTATACAAAGAGTAAACGAATCGAGTCAAAACTAGAAGTTAACGGTGAACTACGCGATAGTAACGTGTTTGTCACCAGTTTGGTTTGCATAGCAACAGCGTTGTGCTCTACCACTCATTTAATGATTGCTTAAACAGTCGATTTATATGGTTCTCTTGTATGATTTCTACATTGAGGAACTCCCTTAGTAATCACTTAATGATACGAGAGTAAAAAATTATTTTTTATTTTGATTAAACTTTATTTACATCTTAATTAGTTAAATAAATGCAAAAATAGAATGAATGGAAGTTACTTAAAAGGTATCTCGATAGCAGAACATATGTTGAAAATTGAAGTAGACGTACAGTCCTGAACAACACATAAGTCTACTAAATTTTTGTATTTAATCCTGCGCCAAGTCGCGGACGACAGCTAGTTTACAAATCAAATCAAGACTATAATCCATTGCTAAATATTATGACATTGTACTTCGACCTCGCAAGCATTGTTGGGGTCAATTACCTATACGGGGACTGTGATGCAATATATTTTCGTCAATATTTGAGTATGGCTGGAGGATCAAGAGTTGTGGGGGGGCGGGGACTAGTGGGGTGTGGGGGGACGAGCAACCGGTCACAGTTGCACAAGTGGCGCACGGCACGCACAACGGTACAGCAACGACGATCACGTTACGCAACCGCACCCCGCCTCACTTTGCATAGCATTACCTATGTCTTTCTAATGCACAAAAAAACCTTCTATAATCGTACCTCTATGGCGCTTTACGCTAAAATCGACGCTAACACTTTGAGTTACGGTCTAAAATTCGTTAAATTCATATAACGCCCCATAAAATGTTTGCATTTCGTATTCGAAATTTTTAATACTGTAATCTAAGAAAATAGTGACTATTAAAAACAAGCGATACATAAAAAGTCAATTCACATATTGTCATTCTGTTGGAAAAAGCTACTATAAGAGATTCATTTTAGTAAAATATCACTGATGTAGTACATTTTCACACACATTAGAACAATTTACGATATACAATACGCTAACACCAACATTTCAATACCTAACTACAAAGCTACGCGGACGGAATAACAAATTAGCTTGCAATTTTTTTTTAATTCAGCACAGATAACCAACGCTAAAAGGTCTACACGATGTGGC